TTCTCAAAATCAAATAAATATTTTAAATATCAAATTATATCTCATATTTTAATTCGTTCGAACTCATAATTGAGATCTCATATCAAAATACATATAAAAATCAAATTGATCATATCAAAAATAAAAATTCTACACCCGAGGTGATCAAATCATATTGTATCATTAGATGTGAACATCCAAAAGCTACGCTTTCTATAGCTAAGTATATCACATGTTGGATGACACACGAGCTAACACTACACCTTTTCTACTAGCTAGAGTATTTTTACATCAATGAGCTAACAAACTACACCTCTCATAGCTAGGTATCCCAAGGTAATCAATTAAATTAAAAATTAAATAATCTCACATATATTCCAAAAATCCAAAACTAAAATATTCAAACACAATTCATGCTCAAAATCAAATTTGGTAATATAATTTAATATCAAATCTCATACTCATGATCAAAGCTCAAATACAAACTCATATTCAAAATCATAAATCGGATACTTACTAAAATTATATGAATAAATCAAAATTTAGAATCTTAATCAAACTACTAATTAAATTCATACCATTAAATCAAACCTTAAGTAAAAAACTTATTCAAAACTCCTAATCAAACTCTTTTTAAAATCATATCAAATCATTTTTTATGTCAAATCATTTCAAATACATAAGAAGTCCGGTCTCATCTAAGTTCTATCGTATGTGATTTTAACATATTTAAATCAATGATGCGTGATGAAAATATAAAAAGAACTTGAAGCACATTATTATTGGGATGAAGTCGCTCGTTTCGAAAAATCTTATGATACAAAATGATCAAATAGTCATTAATATCATATATCGGAGAATAATTCGAAGCAAATGAATTATTTTAGAGAAATCGAATACAAGATAAATTTCAAAAATGAAATTTATCTAAAAGACTCAAATTGAGAATTTTTAACTCAACTCTTACTTTCTCAACAAATTCTAAGTAATTACCCAATAACTATATCTCAAGTTTATTTTACATCATTCTCTAACAATCCAATTCACACTTTGCTACAACCAATTATCCATCATTAAAAATCTATTCAATTTTTACATAACTTGTCTCTACAATCTATCATAAATTTCTAATTTAATTTTTCACACAACGTATCTCTATAATTCACCATTAATTTCTAATTCTAATTCTTTCACAACTTCCCTCCATAATTCGTCATCTCAATCAATTCAAGGATTTCTTAAACTCATAGTCCAATAATCAATTTCACACTACCATTATTCCATTTCAATCATTAATTATCATAATTAATTATTAAATGATCAAATCCTCATATTCAATCCAACTTCTAATCCTAACTTAACTCAATTTTTATTTCAACAACAAACCCAAGTACCAAAACAACTTCTAAATCATCAATAAACTCATAGAAAAACCTTAATTTAAAAGTCAAATGACAATAATTCTCACCTTTGATTAATGAATTTTCAACCTCAATTTCAATCCTTCAATCTCTCCCAAACTTTCAAAACTCTAATTTAGCTAAATTTCACTTTAAACATTTTGATTTCATGAAGTTCTAAGGTATTTGGGCAAGACTTTAGCTTGGAAATAAAGGAGGGAAATAGGAGGTAGTAGGAAGAGTCTTTGGGTGAGAAAGGGAGGATACTAAAAGGAGAATTATGGACAAAATGGATGTATCATTTTTTATTTAAAATTTGTCCAATTTTTTCTTAATTCTTATTCTTTTCTTATTCTTATTCTTATTCTTTTATAAGGTTGGATGCCAATTTTATTTTATAACTAATTTTAGATTTTAATTTACTCTAAAAATGTAATTTCCTCTAATAAACTTATAACTCTTAATCCCAAAAATATATAATTTGCTAACTCAACTTTATTTTTAGAGTGAATTAGTACAAACTTGATATTTAAGATAAGTATGCATTTGACTTTAAGAAACATACATTACATCTTGAACGGGTTTAAAACTATTACTCGTTGGTTCATTTTCCTCATTTATTTATGTTATATATGTTATCTACTCACTAAGCTATTATTTTGCTCACAACCCACCATTTTAGTTTTGTAAGGTTTGCGAGATTGTCCGTAGGTTTTTCAAAGTTGTTTGTCTTGAAGTAGACACATTGTTCGTGTGACTCACTTAATTATAATATTTTGAACTTATATTTTGAGATTATTGTGTTATACACTCTAGAGCTCTATAGTTATATTTTTTAGAGTTGTATTAGGTTTTTTTATTATGATTATTATTTTAGACACGTACAAGTATTATGAAACTATAGTTTGAGTTAGAATCAAGAAATAATAACTAATTAAGTTGTGATATGATGGATTGGATGAGAGTTGTATTATAATTTTGATTATGGATATTATTCTTGAAATATATAAATATTATAAAACTATAGTTTGTGTTGAATTTAGGAAGTATTAACTCGTGACATTATGAATTGAATGAATATTTTAATTGCTACGAGCTCGATAACTATGGATTAGATATCTACGGTTTGCTTGAGTTAAGATAGGTCTCACAACTCTCTCGATTCTTGCACTAGTCATGGCTTACTATATTTATAATGATGATACATCCTCGTCCACCACCTCGAATTATCATAAATTTTCATGTTCATTTTAAGGAATGAAGTAGAATCGGTTGGACGAGATTCATGATGTTTCATAAATAGCTCATTATTTTGTTCGGCCATAAGCAAACATGAAATCAATTAAGAATATTTCTTAGAACTCTTTTCTCGATGTCGTTGTTATAAAAGCATATTTGAGGCATGAAAATTAGAGAATATTTTTTCTAACATGTTTGAATAAAAAATATTTTCTTCATACTATTTTAATTGAGAACCGATTCTAAATACTATAGAATTATATTCACTCACTCTTTTGAAATCTTGTAATTTTAAGTGCATCCATTCATAACAAACTTTTAGAAGAATTACATTCTTTGGTGGTTATACCTTCTTTTAAATTTTTTCCAAAGTTCTAGTGGACCCTTTACGGTTAAATATTTAATTTTTAAATCCTCGTAGAGATAATGGTGAAGAAAAATCATTTCTTTAGTATGGTTTTGCAAGGATTCTTTGATTACCATCCTTGATTGTTTCTCTATGGCCATTAACACTTAAATGTATCTCAAGCATCAAGTTGTCATGATAAATAATTCTTGTCAAAAATGTTAAGGGCCACAAAATCAAGTTTTGTGAGGTTTGACATGATAAAAATTCTATAATGTAAGTTATAATAATAATTTTAGGAAATAAGAATAAATATAATTATAAAATTCAAGCTTTTCAACACAACTTACATTAGATTATTAAATTTTATATATTAGATCATTCAAATTTTTCAAACGTATATTCTATGTATAATTGGATTTAAAATAAAGGATAAATTAGATACATATCTCTTCATAATTTAGATAATATGAATTTTTTTGTAGTGCACTCATACCGATAATGTATCATAAATGTAATAATAATGGTAATATAAAAGTAAAAATAATAGTAAAAGAGTTGGAGAGAAAGATGATAGAAAAATGAGTTCAATATATTTCTTCACTTAACACATCTATTTATAGGTGAATTTTACACGAATTCTAGATTATAAATTTAATGGAGAAGAAATACATTCATGCATGATAATGATGAATTGAATTATATTAAAGAATATGAATAGTTATAGAAAATAAGAATGAATATGGACATTCATTATTTCATAATGGAGCCATCTTTTAATGTAATTTTTTTTTATGAAAAGGATTCGTTGGTCGTATTAGGATTTGTGTTGGGCCAACATGCTTGTAACGTTTGGACTTAGTTCTCTTTTAATAAGAACCAATTTAAATTTTGATTTTGCCAAAAAAAAAAGTCTATTTTGTCATTATATAATATAATTTGATAAATGTTAAAACTATCTTTGTAATTTAAAATGAATTATTTATGTCCTTGTATTTTAAATATATTTTCAATCTATCGTTTTAATGATATTTTCTTGTAAAATAATAAAAAAATATCATGTGATTTACAAATAACTAATTTTATATTAAAAATTCTTGTCAACTAAATAAACAGGTGCAAGTCTCATCACCCATGACTACTCTCTTTTCCATCTTGGTAGGACTCCGGTCAAGGACAAGTACCAAGCCTTTAGAAATAAGATACAAGTTTATGGTATTTGAGGAGGTGAATGAGCGAGAAAATAAAAGAAAAGTGGAGGAAAGTTTTTGGTTTAATGGTGGTTGGTGGATTAGGACTTGATATTGGTCTTAAAAAGGTTAGGAGAAGGTGGAAAAAATCGATTTTAAGGTCTAGGGATATAGATTGATAGGTTAGAGCTTGATTTTATGTGAAGTATGAAGGTTTTGGTTGAAAAAAAGAGAGATTTTAGATGCGGTATGAAAAGTGATAGAATTGATTGTTTTCATGTGATTTTGGTTGGATTTTTTAAGGAAACAGAAAGAAGAGGAAGAAGGGATGAGGAAGGAGACAAAGAAGAAGAAAAGAGAAAGAAAAAAGATTTGGCGTTTCTCTTTGGTCGAACTTGGATCAAAGTAGGAGAGAAAATGGTGATGAGTAGTAACTTGTATATGTCCATTTCTTTGAAAAGTATTTTTAAAATAAAATTTATCCTAAGCAAATAGCATGATATTTTCAAACGGTTTTAGTAGAAAATATCATTAAAATGATAGATTAAAAAATTAATTAAAATGCAGAAATATAATTAATTTATTTTAGAATATAAGAATGAATTATATATTTATCCGATTGAGTAAGGACCTAGTCTCGAAAAAAAAAAAAAAAAAAATCGTGAAACGAGATGTCGTTGAACCATATCCAACAAAATGGCGCTAAAGGTGGTTAGTTTGACACAACGCCAAATGCTATCCTCTGTATCTTCACCTCACTTCACTTCACTTCACTTGTATCAGTCCCTAATCCTAAATTCCCTTTAACCCACAAGTCAAACTACTTATTCTTCTTCAAAATCTTCAATGGGCTACTGCAACCCTTCATCTTCGTCTTGGCTCAGCCCTCGCGCTCCTCAGTTTAGCCCCGCTTTCCCGAAACTCCAATCTTTATTCTTTTGCTTCTCTTCCAAATCAACCAACACTTCAATCTCTTGCTCTACCAACACTGGCCCAACAGATGATTTATTATCGGCAACAACTACTTCTCATACCAGACACAGACCATACGATCAGACTTCCAGGGATTTTCTCCGCCATTGGATTGAAGCTGATCATGATCCACCACTGGCATCATCCCAAGGTATATTTTACTTATGAATTTACATTTCATGTATTTTCTTTTTTGTTGGTTTTTTGTTTCATTATATCTATCTAATCCGTAATTTCTTTATGGTTTGTTAGAAAGATTTACTGTTGTGTCATATAACATATTGGGGGACAGAAATGCTTCAAAGCACAGAAATTTATACCAAAATGTTCCTTTTAATCACTTGAAATGGGCTTATCGAAAAAGGGTTATTTGCCAAGAATTGATTGGATGGAACCCTGATATTATATGCTTGCAAGTAAGCCACTCTATATCGTATTTAATTTTAAAAATATTTGTTTATTATTGTGGAATCTTTTCAAATTTATGGATGCATATACGTTTATGTTAGGAGGTGGACAAGTACTATGATTTATTGCAGACCGTGGAGAAATCGGGATATGCTGGTTCTTACAAGGTTAACTTTGTTTTGGTGCATTTCAAACTAATCTAGGGTTGATTGTTTCGTTTAGTTAATTTGGGAGATTACTTAATCAATTGTTAATAATGGCAGCGGCGAACAGGACATAGTGTTGATGGTTGTGCTATGTTTTGGAAAGCTGATACGTAAGGAAATTGTGGTTTTTTGTAATGTATTGTTTAATAATATTAATTATTGTGGACTTCTTAGTAAGGTTTTATTTGATTTTGGTAGGTTTCGGTTATTAGAAGGAGAGACCATTGAATTTAATCGCTATGGTCTTCGTGATAATGTTGCCCAACTCTCTGTTTTTGAGGTAGCAATTCTGAAGCATATATTTTCAAGTATTTTGGTAATGAATTATCCTTACAAATATTCATAATCTAGCTTTGGCTGAATGTTCTTGTTCACTACTCTTTCATAGTCTGAGGTTTAAACCAAACAAGTACAAATTTGAAGCAGTGAATGGTTACTGTAGCATCTGTGATGCTTTAATCTATTTAGGATTTTATTATTTCCTCGAGAATTTATGGTTGGCATGATTCAAGACTCGTGGTAAGTTTCCTCTTCCCTTCCCTCGAAGTTATTTTGATTCAACAGAAGTTCAAAGAATTTATCAACCCTATATTACTCTCCTACTGTTTTAGACATTAATTTGCACTGTATTGAAGTTAAATATGCTTCTTCTTGTATGTGTGTTCATGACTCATTTTATATCCTATTTTCAGTTGGATTATCTATCTGATTTCATCTCATGCAGGTAGATTTGCAGAGATGAACCAAGAAGAATACTGGTTGGTAACATCCATGTGCTTTATAACCCAAGCCGAGGAGATGTTAAATTGGGTCAAGTATGTAGTTCTTTCACTTCAATATCTCCATTTTATGCACAGCTGACTTTGTTTACCTATCATACGGTAGCAAGCTCATATAACCTACTCAAGTATTGCTTCCTTAACGACTATTTTAAGTATTGCCATCTACTTTCCAAATTGATTATTGCTCTCCCCGCAATTTCTCTTTTTCTGTGGACATATCAAAGTTTGTTAACTTTGTAGTGGTGATTTGTTAACTTTGTAGTGGTGATTTTTCTTCTCACTGAAAGTAGTTTTAGTTTGAGGATACTCTTTCTCATATAAAATAACTGAAATGAGAGTACAAGCACTCGAACAATCTTTGTATACACTTATCTTGATATACAAACATAATAATGGTATCAGTACCAACCTTGCATATATTTTTACGTAGGACTTTCTTACTAAGTTATGCTTACTCACTTTGTGCTTCCTTTGCACTTTTTTCACCACATTTTTCTTGTTCTTCTGCCAATTGCAATTTAAGCCCAGATCCTTGAGGTTACCAATAGGCAATGGGTATGGAAAATCATCATTTATCAAGAAATCAGGTTAATATCGCCTATTAGTTAAATATTTGCAACCTGGCAAATAAACATGGAATACTTTGGGTTTGTTTCTCTTCCTCCTCTTCTTCTTTTTTTCTTTTGGTGCCATTTTATAATTTTGGGGAAAAAAAATTATTAGGAAGCTTGTTTATGTGTAGAATCAATTTTCTCATCTGTTTAAATATTGAATACTTCTATTTGTAGATTCGTTTTCTCTTGTCAAGGGCACAGATTCTTGCCGAGAAATGGGGTAATATCCCTGTTGTCCTGGCTGGTGATTTCAATTCAATTCCTCAGGTCTATTATCTAAAATCCTTTTTCTTTTCTTAATTTTTTCACCATTGTAGTTAATTATGGTTCCTACAGAGATAAATTTTAAATCCATTTTCTTGTTGACAGAGTGCAATATACAAGTTCTTATCTTTGTCTGAGGTATCATTTTTTGAGGTTTTCATTATGTTCTGTGGAATTCCAATCACTTAATGCGCCTACATTTATGATAATATTAGCATCTATCAAACCAGAAAGTTGAGGTTCATTTTTGAGATTGGATATGTTTCTATTTGCAGCTGAATATCTTGCCATATGACAGAAGAGAGTTGTCCGGACAGAGGAAATGTGATCCTGCAAAGATTTTTGGTGTCAGAAAAGAAATGACTAGTCCATTATTTTTTATGGACAAGTATTTCCTTTCTCTCTCACTTCTTCTTCATTGATCACATATTGAGACCATATAATCTAGGAAAATATTTTAGATGTGAATCCGGGCCACAGCCCCGTCCTTGAGTTTGTATTTTTCCTGTTGCTTCAGATCAGAGTCTGGTTCTATTAACATGATTGATTGTGTTGCAAATCAGGTTTGCAGAACTTAAAAATGCTAACTATTGTCTCTGAACTATTTTAAAATCAATGAAAGATTTTTGAGAGATCTTTGCAAGATTTTCATTCAATTGTTGTGTTTTTTTTTCTTTTTCTTTCTTAAATAACATTATCCATATACTAAGTAAAGGTCAAGGACTAAGCTATTAACATGCATATATAGTAATTGGTTGTAGATTCAATTTCTATGTTTAATGGAAATGTCTCGTACTTTGTTCTTGTAATTTTGGGTTTATGCACTGCAACTCCTAAACTTTTAGCTCATAGTTTCATGCTTTCATGCTTTTATTTCTTTTGTTGTTTTTATTGACTGTATTCAGTTTCTCCAACACAGAATGCCATATGATGTGCACTTTCCACCTCTACACCTTATTCAAGTGTATTGGATAGTTCAAATAGACTGTTGTATTTAACATTAATATTGATTTATTAAACAAACTTGAATGCCTTGGGTTTCAGGTTATTGAAGAATTACTGGACTGATGAGGAGGTTAAGGTTGCAACGGGAAACATTGACTGCCATTTGGTTGCACATCCTTTTAAGCTTAACAGCACCTATGCCACAGTGAATGTACTTGATTCTGATAAGATGAATATATTGTTGATCATTATTTGCATCTTCTATGAGAAGTCATTTGGAGTATTGATGGCTAAAGCAGGAACTGTTTTCAGGGTTCTGCAAAAACAAGAGACTTCAATGGTGAACCTTTAGCTACTTCCTACCATTCAAAGTTTCTTGGTACTGTTGACTACTTATGGTAAGTACCTTGTTTTGAAAATTGTACTAGAAATTCCAACAGTACTGGGCATTATAGTGATGATGATGAGACTATAGAAGTGCTTGTATTTGAAACAGGTACTCGGATGGTATTGTGCCTGTTAAGGTCTTGGATACTCTTCCACTTGATATTTTAAGGAGGACAGGTGGCCTTCCATGCCAGGTAAGAACCATGGATCTTGAAGTGGATGCCATTTTTGCTGGAAACTTGACGAAATGTTTCTACTTCCATGCACTTAAAGGGAATTTCATTATTTTTATTTTTTTTGGTTGTTACAGGAATAGGTTTTAAAGAAAAATTAAACAATTATTGGGTTTTCAAATTTTCATTTTTGTTGAAAATTGGTGGGTGGATCTTCTAGAAAAGTTCTTTCTTTTTCATTCTTAGGAAAATAGTAGAAACATTGAGATTCCTTCGTAAAAGGTTTTTATTTTTTATTTTTTTGAACATCAATCCACCATAGACTATTTGTCTTTCCCACTTTTCTACAAATGCGCTGATTATAAGTTAGGGAGCATGTTGAGAGGAGTATAATCCTTCTTTGTTTCTTTTCATGCCTTTTTCAACTTCCAAACAAAAAAAATGGTGTTATTGGCATTCGCATGTTACCATCTATCTAAGTCATCTCCTTTCTCAGCTGTTGGCTAATGGACCAGTTGACACTTGAATAATTCCTCTCTCTCTGTCTTAGAAAGATGTTCACCTTCAAAATGAGCAGACAATGTCTTAAGTATAACTGGTTGAATAAAAAATAAAACCAGCAAGAACGTGCTTTCTGAATTTAGTTTTTATCATCAATGATCTGAGATAGTTTTAAACCTTTTCTTTGGAAGTTTAATTTGTTACAGGTTTAGCAGGGAAATACTGCCAAGTTTAACTTACCTCTGGCCACTCTCGCTGAATTTTCTTATGTGTTATGAATGTAATCTCATTGTTTGTTCAAATTCTGTAATATTCAAGTTTAAGAGTATACCATTAATATTTTTTTCTTTGAATAATTTTTTTTTTTTTTTTTATTTAAAAAAAACTGGTTTTATGGTTGCATATGTTTGTAATTGAATTTAACCCTTTGTTTCGTGGTTTATACAGATACTGGGAAGTGATCATTTGGCTCTGGTTTCTGAGTTTGCCTTCACACAAGTAACCAAAGAAGGCAACACAACAAGTACAGCAACAATCTCAGCATTTAGAGAGGATAACGATTGGACATAGCAGATGTATGTTGGTCCTCACAAGCTTTATCAGGGTGGGATTTTAATCAACCAGGAGGTGAAACTTTATATGTTAACCAGACTTTGTGGATTATATGTTAAGGTTGAAGTTTCTGCTGAAATAATAGGTAGATATCTTTGTTAAAGCCAAACGTTAGTGGACTGTAATGATTCCGCTTCAAACCAGGTATTACTAGTAGTTTTCTATATGATGCATTTTTTTCTGGATTTTGATCCCAGTGGTCTGTGTTCCTTCTCTCCATTTATCTTTCACGTAATCGAGGGACTTGATTAACCTGATGTTAAATGCACTGCCGTTTTGCTAAAACCAAGCCTACAAATGCGGTAAATTACTACACTGCCTCCACTGTCAGATCGGCATTGCTTGCTGTTAGCATGTGCTAGTTGATCTTCTACTATGGTTTGTTTGGCTTGGATGGATTTTCGAACAAAACATGAGGTTTGGTTACCGGGAGAAAAAGACAAACAAATTCCTAAATTCCAATTTCCTTCCGGTCTATAATATTTGTCAGTTTTTTTTTTTTTTTTTTTTGGGGGGGTTAGAATAGAGGTTTATTAATTTACATCGAAATGAACGAATTCACAAGTCAATAGTGCTAAGTATTTGTTCGGTAATTCGATGCAGGTATTTTTGCAAAAATACTGGTTGTTCAGCAACGCTGTTCAAGTATTTTTTTTGTAGAAAATACTTTTTAATCGAAATGCATCAAACTATGTGTTTTGAGGCATTTTTTTATTAGTTAACATCAAAACCATGTAAAAACATTTTGAAGAAAAGCATCATTTTGATATTTTTACAATTCAAACATTCTTTAAAAATGTATATTCTAATGCATTATCAAACTCTATTCAAATGATAAATACCTTAATCACATAAGACATGTTAGCAGTTTCATTAATGGAACTACATTAATGAATACGCAGATGAAATAATCAATAAAACCAACATTATAATATATTCACCGTGAACTACTTAAATCATATATATATATATATATATACTTGGACGTGCTAAATAGAGTCTTAAGTGACAATATCTCATGATTGCAGGTGATTTTGACTAATTAAGGCGGTAAAACAAACTTTTGAGTGACGGGTCGGAACTAAGAAGTCAAAGACACTGAGATTACACGCAATAAATGTGTCCGATTATTTTGATTCAATGTTGACAGAAAAAAGAATCGTACTTTGCACAATTAACACGACTCAAACCACTCCTTAACCCCAACCTACCTGAGCCGTCCATCTGTCACACATCCCACATGACCTCCCATCAACAGTCCACATAAATCCTAACAACATCCACGTTTCTGACTGCGTGCACCATGACTCACTCATACGTGTACCAAAATAAGCACAGGTGGTCCTTAAGAAACCGACACCTACTATTACTGAATCTGTTTCTTCATCTTTTATTATTTTTTTTTTTTTTTGAGAAATTAACTATGCCGACGCGTTCGCTAAAAAAAACTCCGCCACTCATATATCCCCACTTCTACCCCTCAAAGAAAATTTAACTGTTTAAACAACCAAAAAAAAAAAAAAAAGGCTTCATCTGTACGTCAAGAACCGCCGTTGCTTCTTTGTTTGGGTTTCCGGATAAGTCGGCAACGCGATTGAGAGAGGGTTCTTTTCGCAGCAAAACCACTAATTCATTTCTTTCTTTCGATATTGCATAGAATAATAAAATTTTCCTTTCGAAAGGAAATAAAAATAATACTGATGCAGAGATTTGTTGACACCGTCCTTGCTGTTACAAAAGAGTGAGTCTTCTCCCTCCTCCTCCTCTCTCTCTCTCTCTTAAATCTTTCTTCATTTCTCAATTTTTTTTGATTTTTTTTAAATGAGTTTTGATCATATTGTAATTCATGCAATTTTGCAATTCTGGTCATTTCTTTTTGGTTGGTTATTTATTTATCCAGTAGCTGATATATATATATATATATTTTTTAAAAAATCAAATATGCTTTGATTGTTGTTAGCTGAGGTGATATTTGATTACTCAGTTTTGACAAGTTTATGGTTTTGGTGTTTAGTGCAGGTCGGTCAAGACGGTGACGTATGAGTCATTGAACAATACTGTTAGGTTGATAAATGGAGTGTCAGCTATTTTGTTAACTATTTTGCCAGGGAAGGCTAATGTTCTTGAAGGTCTTCATGGCTGGGAGCTTAGGCCTACTTTTCGTGGACCTCGATTACCCCGTTGGATGGAGAAGTAAGTTCGTCTAACTCTCATTTCTTGATGCTTTCATTTGCATTAACTCTGTATGCCTGAAATTGAACCAATCCATCAACATTACCTTACCTAAACATTGTGCAATCATGGAATTAGGAGCAAAATTTGCTGTTTCCATTCGGTTTTGAGGGCAAGGCAATGTTTCTTGTCAGCATTTCCTAACCAATGGATGTTGGATGCTTATATTCAACATCCATCTCCCATTTCTCGCACCACCAAAGTTCTTTAAGTTGCCTGAAACAATTCGGTCCGTAACCAACAAGACAATTGATACTAATCTAACAATTGTAAACCAGGCTTTTCACTAAGTTGATGCATCCAACTTGGCAGAACCTAGGTGGAGAGATGCATACTCCATGTTAAGCAATGTTGTATGTTACAACTAATAGCTTGAGGATTATTATTCTCGGCAAACCTCGTCTAGCTGAGACCTCCCTTGTCAGCATTTCCTTTTTAATCAAAACGACTGGTGATTATATTAATGTGCATTCTACCTTTATAGCTTACTTGTATTGTATGTTTGATTGTTGACATTTCTTTTATTTTTTTCCTTCTTTTTTTTTTTTTTTTTTTTTAACTGATCATGGTAGTGGGGTGTCCTCTTTCAACAAATTCATTCATGAGCTTCCTATGGATTCTGATTCTTCAAGTGCTGATTATTCATCGGCAGAAGAAGATGGTGATGGAATATGTCCTTCAACACCATCATCTCAAGGTTCACGTATCTCACGTTCAAGTAGTTTCAGCAAGAATTATAGACATTCAACAGGATGGACCATCTTATTATTTTCATGGATTTTGTTCCCCTTAAAGTTTCTTCTGGGAATTCCTACCCGCCTGTGTCGTTTATTTTACATCAGGGTGTCAACATCCCCCTCTTCTAGGGGAACCCACCAGAATTCCTCATCACACTCCATTAAGAAAATGCATACATTAAGGGACCATGTCATTCATCGCACTACGGACAGGAGACGGGGTGTCATTGAGGTATTTGTTAGGACTTAATATGTGACTTAAACCTTTTTTTCTTTCCTTCTCTCTTGCTTTTGTATTCATTAACATGCATGATCTTTGGTTTTCCCTGTGATGTGTTAACAGGACCTACATCTAGCAATTGAGGTTCTCATAGAAGTTGTATTTGATTTTTTTCATAAAGCAGCACATTTTCTTCTTTCGCCATCAGAAGTTCTAAAAGCAATCTGTAGATGGTTTTCCCCTCAGACAAGTGGCAATGAAGTTATCAATGTTGGTGTTTCTGATACATCTGTCCCTGCAGCTACAGTTGGAGAGGATGATCCAGCTCCTACAGAGATGAAAACTACTTTTCACCAGTCTCTGAATACAGATGCTCGAACCTGCCAGGATGTCATAACCGAGCTTGGGTATTGCAATGTTATGCTTAACTGAGTTGCATTGTGTTCTAATGCTATGCTATTGCATCTTCTTTAAATTTGATGTCTTTCTCTCTGTTAATAGATACCCTTATGAAGCTATTCATGTCATCACTTCAGATGGCTACGTTTTACTTCTGGAAAGAATTCCTAGGTATGGTTATTACTTTTCCACATTGTTCTGTTACCTTTTTTAATTTTTTATATGCGTGCTGCCTGATCTGCAGTTTTACATTGCAGACGTGATTCCCGGAAAGCTGTTTACCTCCAACATGGGATATTGGATTCCTCTATGGGGTGAGTTACTTGATCGTGATTCACACAAGAATAAAGTGGGCTGGTTTATTGAAATTGTCCCTTTCCTTTTTTTTTTTTTTTGGTTTTCCAATTCTATATTTTCTCAGAAAAATGAATGTCACATGTATACCTAAAATGCCAGTAGGTGAATTTGTTCATTTAATGAAATTGCTAATTCTTTCTTGGCTGGACTAGTTACGCTCTCTGCCATCTTTATAATCCTGGGACAGTTTTGATTTGTTCACATTCTTTTTGTTGTCCAGTTGGGTTTCCAATGGGATTGTTGGAAGTCCAGCTTTTGCAGCATATGATCAAGGTTTGTATGTTGTAACTTTTGCCCTGAAACTTCCTGAAGTTGCTGTGACACATTATGATTGATGAACATGTGGTTGCTTTTTTATTTTGCAGGATATGATGTTTTCCTTGGGAACTTTCGTGGTTTGGTTTCTAGAGAGCATATTGACAAGAAAATTCCCTCACGGAAGTATGTTTACTTGAGATACTTTACCATTTTCATCCTGAAATAATGTCGTTGATTCATTTCTAATTTGATAACTGGATCTGTACGATTTAGAAGATTTGATTGATGAAAATAAATAATAGAAGACAATAATTCCCAGTTTCATGCTTGTGCCTTGTAATACTGAAAATAGAAAACTGTAATGCAGGTATTGGCAGTATTCCATCAATGAGCATGGGACAGAGGACATTCCAGCAATGATTGAGAAGATTCACCAAGTTAAAACTGCTGAGTTGAAAATTAGCCAGCCCAATCTTGAGGAAGAAACCAATGATGATCAACCTTATAAACTTTGTGCAATCTCCCATAGTTTGGGAGGAGCTGCCATGTTGATGTATGTTATAATACGCCGGATTGAAGAGAAGCCCCACAGACTATCTCGTTTGATTTTGTTGTCCCCTGCTGGCTTCCATCATGATTCCACCCTAGTCTTTACAGTTTTTGAGTATATGTTCCTTCCTTTGGCTCCTATTCTGGCACGTTTTGTGCCTGCCTTTTACATACCAACAAGATTCTTCCGTATGCTGCTTAACAAGCTGGCTCGGGACTTCCATAACTACCCAGCGGTTGGAGGGCTGGTTCAAACCCTTATGAGTTATGTTGTTGGTGGAGACAGCTCAAATTGGGTAGGAGTATTGGGGTTACCACACTATAACATGAATGACATGCCCGGAGTTTCCTTTTATGTGGCTCACCACCTTGCACAAATGAAACGCTCAAAGAAATTTAGGATGTACGACTATGGAAGTGCATCTGCCAACATGGATGTTTACGGATCTCCAGAACCGTTGGACTTGGGTGAATGCTATGGGTTCATTGATATTCCAGTTGATCTGGTTGCTGGACGAAAGGACAATGTGATTCGGCCTTCAATGGTAAGAAAGCATTATAGGTTGATGAAGGAAGCCGGTGTGGAAGTATCATATATTGAATTTGAGTATGCTCACTTGGATTTCACTTTCTCCCACCATGAAGACCTGTTGGCCTATGTGATGTCAAGGTTGCTGCTTGTCAAGCCAGCTCGGAAGCAGCTACTTAACAAGAAATCTTTATGGTCGAAAAGAGAAGGACAAACAAAATGTTGACAGACAGGGAATATGGGAAGTCATGCATTTGCCTGTCGTTTTGGTTTCAGGATTTTGCATGAGGTGTTGTATCTTAAGAAACAGGTAGTTGTATGTGATTTACTTGAGTAGGCATCCTTCAATTCAGTGTAATTAGTGGTAGAGCTGCAGTATACGCGTGTCGACCATTTTCCCAGGCAGTTTCGTGGAGGGAAGCATGGTGCTTTACAGACGTTTTAGTGGTGTTGTTTGTAACCTTAAACCAAAGAGGATAACTGCTTAAATAGAAAGTTGTATTCTTTGTATCGTGGGGTTGCTTTAGTGATGTTTGTAACTTAAAACTTAAAAGAGGATGGGCTTTTTTAAGGTTGTCTTTTGTTCCAGAATTGGGTGATGTTGAGAATATGCATGCAATTGGGGGATGCATTGTTTTAATTTAGCGGAAAGCTTTTTGAATTTATGCACAGCATACGTAGAAGATGAAGACCTATTCTTATTTGCTTGTTTCTATCAGCTGTTGGAAAAAAATTATGTCCTAGCTGCTTGGTTGGGTGGTCTTGTGCTGTGCTTTGACTGCACTAAAGCAAACTAATTGAATTGAATTGATTAAGAAACTATGGTATTGTTGGGTTGTGAATATTGTTGTGTTATTTAAGTTAAAATTACAATATTGTGTATAAACTTCTCATAATATTTTTTATAGCTAAATTAATTATAAAAAATTGACATTGACATTATTATTTTAGATATAAAAGTTCTATAAAATTTATTTTGTCCGTAGTTTTTTATTTGAAGTTGCTTAAAAGCAACTAATTGTTGACTTCTTGTAACATGTGATAGCCTCGGTTTTCTTCGCAGTGACCAATATTTTGCAATTTTTTTTTTAAAAAAAACTCAAACACCTAATCTACTAGAATTTGAACCATGACTTTTTATTATAAGAGATTATTATCACTGAGCTACATGCTCTTTCACGACGAATACTTTACAATCTATACTAAATATCAGTATATAAATATTTATAATTTTCTTTCCTAATTGACATGAAAATAATGGTCATCTAAGCATCAATGGTGTATGGTAAGGCCACTATATGCAATAAAATATTTACTGTTCAAATATTTTTGTTTATAAGAAAAGAAAAAGAATTTGACATTTTGCTGTATCGGTGGAAATAAGAGGGCTGCTAATCATGACGTAAAATTAAGATTTGGATCCTCTCATGTTTCTAACCAGTACTATAGCTTACAGCGATTAATTTATTTTATTGATTTGTTAATTAAAATTGTTTCCTAATTTGTTTTTTCAAAAAAATCTTACAGTAAAAAGTTCAGTAAAATTAGAAATATAAAAGGATCTCCATCCATTATTATAGTTAAGTGGGTAATAATACTAACAATCTGTAAAACTAATTTATATTTTGTAGTATCATTTAAAACCAACAATAAAAAAAAATTGAAATAAAAGGCCATAACTACTAGACAAAAAATTTTTAGTGTGTCATTTCTTTTTAAGAATTTTTTGGGAAACATTTTAACTAACAAATCAATTGGATATATCGATTATGATGAAAAAGGCTAGATATTTAATTCCATTATTTTCATGTTATTGTGTTATATATGTTATATTTAATTCCATTTAATTTATAACTAAAGGACCTATATATTATTAAAAGAAAACTAATAGATTAATTGAATTAAATTTATCAAATTAATTTTATTAATAACATTGAAAATGTTATGTCATAATTCGATAGATGATTAATGAATGATCGTGTATCCTATGGAGATACGTAATAAATAAATAAAAATTTCCTCCATTTAAAATTCCTAATATCAATCGTTGAATCAACTAATTATATTAACAATAAGATGATTAGGGCTTACCTTTTGAAGCACAAAAATCAATTTGTGAAAAGAACTATCCAAGCATTCGATCTTTATTGATGATCCACAAAACTCAAACATGCACACACACACACACACACAAGAAACGACGAAATCGTAAAGTGCTAGCTCTAACCTTCTTTGCAAAGTAAGCTTTCTCTCAAAAATCTTTTAGGGTTGAGGCAATATGCCTATAGAGAAAGAAGTTGTGGGTTTATTGTTTCGAGTGAGAGACGCACAAAAACTTTTCTTTTGTTATTTTTGTCTCATATGTCGTCTCTCTTTCCCTCTCTCATATATAAATGGTGGCAACTCTCTTTATAGGTCTAGGAGATGAACTCATGTGGGCTTAATTTAACTTTATCCTTATAAACTCCGAGCCTTATCCTTTAGCACTCAAGATTATCCATCCATCAAAAATATTTTGTAGGCTTTTTAATTAACCTATTAGCCCAAACTCTTTTGGCTAAATTAATTATCAATTAATTTAGATCATCTAAATAAATTAGGTCATATATTTTTAGAAAAGGCCCACATTACAAAACATTTTTCCACATTACCCTTAAATCTAAATTAAGAAGTTGATTTCCATTTTAGGTAATCGACTTCCTAATTTAGAAACTAATTTCCAAAATTAATTTCTAAAATAGGAAGTTGATTTTGAAAATAAAAAACTGATTTTTAAAACCTTTGCTTCTCTTTTATTATGTGAATGTTTAAACTTATGTGTGTGACTCAATAGGCTCTTAAATATGTTAGCAACACATCGAGAAGTAAAAGACACGTTTATTTCTCGATACATAAATCAAGATTGGCCTCTACCAAGATATTATGACAACTCAATTCTCTAGAAGGATTAATTAATCCGTAATTACCTTTCACGAGTATGGTTTTCATACAATTCGATCCTTATGTCAATTTATCATAGTGCGATCTCGAACTTAGTTTATTGTCTATTTGATTATGATCACATAAATTTTCTTCGATCTCCAAATATCTTAACTCCCAAGTAAACCAACTATATTCTATTGGTATACTTCCACTTATGGCCACAGATTCTTTGAGCAATATTCATTGAAGTGCAATGTGATAATTCCTTTAGCATATAAAGAATGATATATCTTATCTTAATCATCCACCTATCTCCATTAGATTCTTAATGCACCTAATGGGTCATATATAGCTCTTTACCGAGCATATTGAAACGAATGTCAATGTATATCAATCTCTAATGAGACAATCGTGATGACTTCAAGTCAAAGGACTATTTATACCCATCTCGTATGAGATTTTCATTGACAATACAAAATTAGTTCTCATGACAAGTCATGTCTATTGATATGTTCTTTAACATTATTCACCTAAATGCTTTCTCCGGCATTACCATACTAGTAGGTGTGAGATCTCCTACTACAATTTTATAACAAGAGTATAGCTCTCATAAGTCTTATCGTATATTGTCAATGTCCATTCTTGATAATGCTACGACTTGAGATATTTAATGATATCATTTAAATGTTTTGATGTTTGACTCACATCTATTGATCAATCATTAATACAATGCATATCATATAGACTTCTATTTAATTCTATCAAATTATAAATAACAAGAATTAATAGAAAGAATTTTTTATTAATATTAAAATATAATGATACAATCAATCAAACTATCCAAATAGATTGGATCTACGACACTTATACTAATAATCTTTTGCTTGCATTAGAGCTAATCGGCCATGTCTTTTATGTTCGAAAATCGAATAAGGGTAGTCAAGGGATATGTCCTGTTGTTGTTGGTGTGAACCTTTTCTATCTTTTTATGACCATGATTGATAATCTCTTTAATCTGATGATAAGGTAACGAGTACATGTTTTGATCATTGATGAGACTTTGATTTCTTAGCTTATGCTATGGCTTTATTATAGTCATAATACGATACTTATTGAATCATCAATGTTTGGAATAACTTACGATCTAGACAGAAACTTATGAATTTAGATAGCTTCTTTAGCTACTTTTGTGACTACAATGTATTCAATCTTGGTTGTGGAATCAGCTCATTGTTTCTTACTTGGAAGTCTTTCGACTAATAGCACCACCATTCAACAAGAAAATAATCATGATCGTGACTTAAAGTCATCGGGATCAATTTGAAAACTAGCAACCTTTCATAACTAGTTTATTTCCTCCATAGACCAAAAAAACATCCTTAGTTCTTCTAAAGTACTTAAGAATGCCCTTTATAGTAATCCAATGCTTCTTACTTGGATCAACTTGATATCTATTATGTATGTTAAATTGTATATATAGCATGACATACATTATTAATCCTATGGATGATGCATAGGTAATGTGATTCATCCTTTCTCTTTCACTTTGTGTTTTAGGACACTCAACCTTAAAGAGTTTTATACTATGTGACATTGGAAGAAGTCTTCTCTTTGACTCTTTCATACTAAACCTTTTTAGTATCTTGTCAATGTATGTGCTTTGGAAGAGTCCTAACATTATGTATGATTCATCTCTATAGATCTAGATTCTTAGAATGTAGGCTACCTCTTCTATGTCTTTCATAGAGAAATTCTTGGATAGCCAATCTCTCATAAATTGCAACATGGTAATGTTATTCCCGATTAGCAGTATGTCATCTACATATAAAACAACAAAGACTACTATACTACCACTAACCTTTTTGTATACATAAGGTTCATCTTCATTTTATGAAAAGTCAAACATTTTAATCATTTTATCAAAACATTGATTCCAAATCCTAGATTATTACTTAAGTCAATAAATGAATTTTTGTAATTTACAAATCTTATTTGCATGTCTTTTGATGAAAAACCATCAAGTTGTGTTATGTACACATCCTCATTTAAATTTTCATTAAGGGAAGCAATTTTAACATCCAGTTGTCATATATTATAATTATGATATGTAGTAATTACAAGTATAATCCTAATAGATTTAGCCATAGCAACTAATGAAAAGGTTTCATCATAATCTACTCCTTGTTTTTGGCAATAGCCTTTGGCCACCAATATGACTTTGTACGTATATACATTACCATCCATGTCAATCTTTCTCTTAAAACACCTTCATGTAGATCAACTAAAGTCCATACTTAGTTAGTG